ATGCATATTCCTTTGACTGTGTTACATTGTTCTGAATGACAGGTTGTGCTGTGAAAAGGTCTTCAATCTCTCTGGCTTGAAACAGGAAATTAATCTGATGACTGGGGCTCAAATTAAGAAGCAGAATTAGCTGATCAAAGAGCATGGGGCAGTGAGGCACAGGAGTGGGGACATGCTGAGATTGGAAAAAGCAGCCCAGGAAAAGAAGGATGGACAGGGAAGTCTGAGAAGTGAGAGAAGCCCAGGCTGAGATGGCAGGACTAGATAGACCAGGACTTGCTAGCAAGGCAAAAAGGACCACTAGAGTGGGGAGAAGCCAGGAACTGGGGTGGGAGCAGATGGGAAGAGCTGGGTAGGAGACCTCAGGTTTGGGGCTAGCGGGTAGGATAGCAGGTTGCCACAAAGCACATACCTTCTGAGAAGCTAGAGCAGGACCCAGGGTGTTTCCTTCTCATCCTCCCATCAAGCAGGCACGGCATCCTGCTCCCCCTGCAGCTGATCCATGCAGCACTAGCAGGTTTTTATCTTCTCTGTTATTTCATTCAGTCAAATGGCAGAGGCCTGTGCAGAACTGAGGGCTCCAGGTCTGCAGATTAACCATATGGCTGTCAGCACAACATCATATGGGGGAAGGTATTTGTCCAGCTTCCTGTTGGTAGGAACCTAGGAAACTCCTGTCCTTTCCTCAAAATCTTAATACTCTTTTTAACATCAAATGAAGCACTCAGGGTTAGAGAATGCTGAAATGAAAGTTGCTTATTCATCTGTAACTTTTTCTCTACAAGACAAATCTTTTCCCCCACAAAACGTATGCTTTGCTCAGTAACAGAGATGAGCTGTGTGCTTATAATGCACTTTTTGTCTGGCTTGCTGCAGAAGAAGGAAGAACGTGCAGTGTGAGAGTCAGGGAATTACTTGAAGAAAATGGCTGTAGTTAGCCACAGGAACATGATCTGATCCTCCAGGCCAGCTGAGTTTCTGTGTGGTGTTGGACTAGTCATTTTGAGGTAAACTTTTCAAAGGGTATCATTAGCTGTTGTATCTAGTTTGAGATGCCCAATTCTAGAGCCTGGAAGAAGATTGGTAAAAATACTGCACGTTCTTTGCTGAAACAGAAGTTTCAGAAAAGCATTTTGTAGGCATCTCGATTCAAGTACTGCTCAAATCAGCAGATACTTCTGAAATTGTGCCATCTGTGCCTTAGCTCACTCTCCATGTAGTGGTAATAATGCTACTTCTAAAAGAAGGTTGTGGGAGATTTTGAAAATAAATTAGCTTAATGTTTGGTGATGCAGTCAAGAATAAAGAATTGGATGAGGATGAAGGCTGGAGGAATAAGAAGGAACTGAAAGATTATACTGTAAAGTACAGTGTCATGCACCTAGCATCTAATGCAGATGTCTTCTATAAACATGGAGCTCATCAACTGGAAACTACAAAGGAGGAAGAAGGGTCTGGGAGCATTGCTAGATCTTGTGATAATTGAGGCAGCACTTTCGTGATCCGTTACACTGTGATCTTAAAAGGTCTCAGTGGCTATCAGAGAAGCTCTAATGCTGTTGGGCTTTTGGGAAGACTCATCTGGACACTTGTGTATACTTCCAGCTTTACAGCACAAAGATGAGAGCAAACTAGAGAAAGTGCCCAATGTGGCTGATAGCATGGTTGGAGCAATGAGTGGCCAGTTTTAAAAGGCAAAGAAAAATGTGTGGCTTACTGAGCCTTGCAAAATTAAGGTGGAGGCATGAGTTGGACAGCAGGTTGTATATATACCTGAAGGATTAACAGCAAGATGGAAGCTAGCTGAGCTGAGGTACAGTTCTTGGCACAACAGTAAATACATTTAAATGAATGGGAATAAGTTTAGGTTGAAAATTCAATAGTTTCTAAGTATCAGAGTAGTGAGAGTCTGGGGCAGTATCCTAGAGGACAGAGTGGAAGGAAGACACCTGGTTGGGCTGGAGATGAGGTTTGAACCCTTTGAGAAGGGTGTGAGTAGGACCTGGGCTCAGACTCAGGAGGCTGTAGCCAGTTAAATGTGTTAATTACAGCAGATACAGTATGCACGCTTGGACGTCGTGCACGCAATCAACGTGGGCAGTTGACCTTTTCCTTCTCTCAAGTGAAATCAAGTCATTAGGAATTATCTCTAAATATTCTGGCCCTGTACTTCAGAGCTTGAGCTGCTTTAATCTTAGTATGCCTTGGGGAGCCAGATTACCAGTGTATCTGCCCTGGAGAGTCTGGGAGCAGATGAGGAGATCTCTTTCAGATGGCTGGTTTTTAACATGCAGCCAGAGAGGCCTGTTGAGTGCCTGAGCATGTGTGGAAAGGAGGGGATGTATGCATTCTCCATTAGCATTTCCAAGATGCAGGAAAGCCTCGTGTCTGTTTGCTCCAGGATGTCTATTTGTCCTCATTTATGGAGCATATTTGAATGGAAAACTATCAGCTGAAGGAAGAAATATATCGTTGGAGTGGGAACATTGCCATTCTCAGTCTTTGGATGGCCTCCACTTCATGTTTGTCACATGCAGTTCATATCTGTAAGGAATATGTGTCACTGCTGATGTGATGTGGCATGTCATAGAAGCTCTGGTGACATTTTGTGACCTCTTAAAGTCTAATGAAAGAGGTTTGCAACATATAAATGCCATCTGCCATGGCAAAGCAACTTCCCAGTTCTCTAATCACATATGCCTTTTGTGAAATGCTGCATCACCTCGGAAAAAATCAGCATATTAATGGAGGGAGCTTGTCATTTCAATCATTCCCAGATTCTTTACATAATTCATCTATTAACTTTTTTTTTTTGCTTATTAAGAGCCCTGAGGGGTGGAAGTTGCAGCAAATCCATGATAGCTTTAGGAGTTCTGTTTCATTACAGCTGTATTTACTTTCTGATTTTTTGGTACTCTGAATTGGAACCATTCTCCCTACAGTCTTAATCTTTTGCAAATACTCGTGGGGTTCACAGATGGAAGCGTGAAAAGTCTGAGCTGTCTCAGGAACATGTAACTGGACTTTTGTAGGGGGTATAAAAAGAGGAGAGTTTTCCTCATTAACCTATGCTTGTTCATTTAGTCCATTATGGGAACTGAGATGTGCTAATTATTTTAAATTGATTCAGCTTGTTTGCCAGTTTGTCACACCGATAGCCTCAGATGTGGGATAAGGAGACCAACTTTGGCTTCAATTTTTGCTGGGCTGACAGCTTATATAATGTACAATTTTTAAATCAGTAGGGGCAATTTTTACAGCCTGAAAAAATAAGCAGAGTGTTTCATGCTTCGATGGGAGAGAAGAGCACTTTATCCACTTACCACTTACTTTGGATACTGCTGTTGTTGGGTTCTCTAGCTTTTATGTGTAGATAAGACAAACTTTCTAAAGAGAGAGATTATTGCAGGAAATCTGTTCATATTACAGGCCACATATACAACATTCACATTAATTTGTGAGTAACGATGAGCAAAAGCTACTTCAGATGGTGCCGAGGTAGAAAACTGCATCTCTACAGACTGTAGTGAGAGGCAACAGATCTACCTCCTGTCATAAACAGTGCTTTTGTGTGTCTTCCAAGAAACACGCAAGCATTGTCTAGCCCTCACAGCCATCAGTGAAGAAGTTAGGTCTGTTTTTATCTCTGTCTTACAGGCAGAGAAAGAGGTACACTGAAAAATGAAGTGGCAAGACTAGCAAATCTGTGTAAGCAGCAAAACAAGATACCAGAAGCCCTGGCTTGCCAGCCTGTCTCATTACATCATGCCTGTGTGCCCTGGGCAAGCCCCATTCTTTCGACTGTGTTTGTACATAGCATCGGTAATAGAATCAGTATTGAAGCCTGCTGTAATACTGATTTTTAGACATAAGCTTATAATTTCCCTGATTTGACCTATCTTTAGGCTCCCTATTAGTAAAAAGATCTTTTCCTTTCTTCATTGGGGTATTGAGAGATGATGCTAGATGTGTATAGGTGTCACAGAATGGATAAATTAAAAAAATCACACAGGGACAAGAGAAATCAAGAAGTCTGTGAGCATTGCTCTGGATGTAAGCTTTTTGAGGAGGCAGAGTTACGTTCTCAGTCCAGCACTTGCAAGGATAAGTCATTACACTACGCTGCTTCCCTCGTAGTGGACCATGTGGTAAGGTCCTACTGTGCATGTAGTGCCCTAAGGGTCCTACTCGCAGATGGAGCAATGAAACTGAAAAGCCTGCTGTGCAGGAGTTCAGTAGGTTTTTTGTAACTGCACTGCCATGCAACCATTTCAGTTGCCTTTATGTTTGACCTGTGTTTATAGATCCTGATGAGGTCTGTAAAACGAGCTTATTCTTAATTGCCGTTCATACAATTCTTATCTTGCCATTCCTAATTTCAAGAAGTTAATATGGGGGTTAGGTGGGATGGATTTTTGCATTTGCTGCTCTGCAGTAATGACTATTTTGCATGTTTTGGCCCTGAAACAGAAGGAGCCATCTTTTTTGCATCAGTTGCAGAGTGAAAAAGGTTATACCAGCAGTTACTGCAGAGTGATTGGTGCAGTGTAAAACTACACCCAGCTTCATTGTGAAATTAGCTTGTTCATGTGGCCTGGGAAATACCAGTGCAAGCACCTGAAAGAGATGATATTTGAACTCCTAAGAGTATATTGCAAAGCTTTTTATCACAGCCCAGTTGTAGCTGACATTTAAAATGTGCAGCAAGAAAGAGGGAGTGAGAATAGGAGATGTCTCAGTAGAGGTACTGCAGCCCATCTGGGCTTTTCAGAGCAGGAGACTGTACCCAACTGGGTATCACTGGATGGCATCAAAATGCTTGCTTTGTTTTCTGCTTAAATAATAACCAGGTACACTGTGTGTGGGAGGGGATTGTCAGGGGGAGTAAAGCTATTTAGCATCAAGCTAAGAGAACAGCAAAGCACTGCTGTTTAAAAGACTGTATAAAGAGCCAGGCCTGTTGCCTTCCTTCCAATGCTTAGCAACTTTTTTCATTTTAGGAACTTTCCGCTGTACTTTCTGCGAGACTGAAGTGGAAGAAGATGAGTCGGCGATGCCCAAGAAGGATGCAAGGACACTCGTGGCAAGATTTAATGAGCAGATTGAGCCCATTTACGCACTGCTTCGTGAGACGGAAGATGTTAACTTAGCCTATGAAATCCTCGAGCCAGAACCCACAGAGATTCCTGCCCTGAAGCAGAGGTGGGAACATGCCTGGTCTTCTCTCACTGCGCAGCTTCCTTGTAGTGTGTTCCGTCTGCTCTGTAAGGCTTTCCCAAACCTTGTGCAGCCTCTGGCTGCATTGAGGACTTACTTGTTCAGCACCACCTATGCAAGCAACTGACAGATTCCCCAAGGAATGTGTGGTTTATAAGGAGACAAAGGGCTGTAACCATTTTTCACTAAACAAGGCAGATGACTATTCTTCTGGTCGGCCTCCTGCATGTAGTTTTCTCTGGGGTGGGGTACTCGAATGAACTGCTGCTTGCTGTGCTGCAGCTAGTATGTATACCAAGCCCTTGCCCTGGTATTTAAGAAATGCAAACTGCAGGTGTTTGGCAAAGCTCTGAAGGTGCCATCTACACTGTCTTCTTTCTCTGAAACCCTTATCTTTCATTTATTCCTTTTGCTTCTACACAGCTTTTGAAACTAAGCTCTCTGCATTCTACACTTTGTGTTCCGGTTCAAAGGCGTTACTTGTTATAAGGGTATTTTTTTCTTCTGATTTTCTCCTACTTGTTACGCACCTCTTCTTTTCAGGAGGAGGCCATGGTGCAGTCAAAAACTCCTTGAAATGTTCCTACTCATGGGAAATGACACTTTCTTTCAGAACATTCCTAGCTGTACTAAAACAGATGATGTTTAAATAGTGCAGAAAGATGTGAGGAGCTGTCAGTTTTGTCAGCTGTGGTGAAATGTGATGCACTTCTCTGTGTTTAAAAAAAATTGATTAAACACACGGGGGGGGAAAAAAGTACCACGAGGGGAAGCATTCCCACAGTGCCTTGGGATGCTTGGCTTTAGTTAATGGGAGAGCAAGCAGGATACTCTCTTTTTTTCTCCCAGGCTAACCTTGAGAGAGAATGTTCCTCATATATTCATGCTAGACATTTTCTAATTAATATAATAAAAAATTCTTTGTCTGTTCATAGTCTTTTTCTAGCCAAGAAGGTAGCTAATTTTCCTCATCATTCTGAGAGGAAAACAGAAGCAATATAGAGAGGGGAAGAGATTTTTCCAAGGTCACTCAATATGTCTTTGGTGATATGGGGAGTCTTTGAAGCCTTTATGCCCAAGCTGAATCACTAGCCTTTGCTTTAAGAACCCTTTTCTGTAGTTTGAGTAGTAGAACTGGGATAACCCCACCAAAGAGAGTCATTGCTCAGTCTTCCCCTTCTGTGCACAGGAAATTGCCACAGCAGAAGCCTGGTGCAGTCCCATGATTAAATAGCAGCACCCACTTACTTGACTCTTAAATACTTAAAAAACATTGTAAAAGATTAATTATTTTGTGCAAGGAATGACAAAATAAATAGGTGGCTTTTTAAATGCTTACTTGAACACAACTTGCTTCAGCACATACAATGATTTAATTATTTATTAACTCTTATTAATTCAAAGCAGCTAATTGCACGAAAGCGCTGCTGTGAGATTTTTTTTTAAAGTGCCAAACCCTGGGTTATTTATTCGGTCTGTTTTTATGGAGTCCTCAGTGTCTGAAATCATTGACAAAACTGACATTTGGTGATTCTGAAACAAACAGAAAAGGTCACAAAGTGCCTGCATCGTCTCTGCACCGAGGCAGGCAACTTCACGTGTTTTCAGGAGAGTTACAGCTCCAAGCGACCACACTGACATTGCATAACTGTTATTCACCTGCCATGGGAAACTGGGCAGATCTTCATTTATATCTCTCTAGGAGGCCATTAATTTTCTTCATCTTGGCAGAGCATGAATTAGCCCCACAGGTTTTGAAATAAACCTGCTTTACCTAAGCCCTTCTCTGTGGTCTTCTAAAACAGATGGATTTTAATATCCCCTCCATTTACTTTTGTCAAAATTGCATGATTTTATATAACAAAAATCTTCACAGAATTAATTTTCTGTGGTCATGCTATCAAGGACCATGGTTGGTCGATTGTGAAGTTGAAGGTCTTAAGAGCAGCTAAGTGAAAAAGTGCTTTATTTCAAACACAGCACAAAAAGAGTTATCCCTGTTATGCAAGACCTTTTCTTAATAGTCTGGGCAGGATTGAGATGAAAATTTCAAGTTGTTTCCCCATTGCACAGTGTGGTTTTTGTGGGCCATACCTCAGCTATGTCAAGGATTATTTATGTCGCCTTTAAAGGCAGCTAACCACTCATTAAGGGATTTCCAGCAGGGTAAAACAAGTGATGGGTAACAGAGCAAATGTAGCCACATCTGGGCCACTGAGCTCCCACAGTTCCTGGTTGCAGGATGGCCATGCAAAGTCTAGACCTAGGAGGGGAAAAAGCAGATCTTGGATCTGAGAGAGAGAGAGAATTAAGAGTGCGCTCCCTTCATCTGCTCTGTGCTGCCCGTAAGGCAACTCGCACATCTGGCCTTTTGCTGGTGCCTGATCCATGGTGTTTAATCCTGTACTTTGGAACAGGGTTGCTGAACAGTAAAATCTCTTCTGGCAGTAAGGAGTTGTTCCCCTGGTCACGTCGTCTTGAGGGGCTGCTGACTCCTACCAACGGAGTTGCTGAAGATGCAGTTCCACAAAGAAGTAAATTGAGACACGCTTGCAAAGCTCACCAGGGTCCAAAAGTAGACAAAAAGTGTCTAGATGGTTCCACCTAAGTGTGGGACATTGCAGTAGATGGCTTAAAGTAATTAGTACTGTAGGTGGCTCTTAGAGTTGTTACTTTCATTTTTGAAATGTTCCTGATGTCATGGAATAAGTGTTTTGCTGCTAAATGATACCGCGTAGGGAAAAAAGTCCATTTCAGGCACACTCATGGGGACCTCTGTGCAAAAGTATTATTAGGCAGTTCCTGGCACTACTGAGTATTTAGCTGTCACGCTGCAGTCGTGGGGAGGGAGAGCTTGGGGGAGAGCGGCATTGTATATCTTGTGAGGAAAGTGGATTACATAAAATCGTCAGGGAAACGCTAGTTAGAGATTTCTATTGTGTGGGAAGCAGAGTGGTGCTTTTCACAGAACACACGCCTGTCTTGGAGAGCTGAAAGGTACCAACACTTGAAATAACGCATTGGGAAGAAGGTCTCTGTGCGGTTCCTTGGCTTATATAAGCAATACATGTGCACGAGTCTTCTGCCCCAAAATTCAAGGCTGCTGTGAAGTTCTAGTGGGGCTGGTTGCAGGAGAGAACCGATTAGTGTGTGGACACATGCTAACACAGATGCTATGAAGTATTTTGCTAACAGATCCCAGCAAACTCACTGTTGGGAGGCTGTGAGTAGCCCTCAATCCAAACTGTGGCTGAACACACCAATATTTTTTATCTGGGGAAGAGAGATGATCACCAACCTGCATATTTTCACCTCACTTTACCCCTCAAAATCCAGCAGAATTAGCTCATCAAGCAGTGGTTAAGTCCTTGCTGAATTAAAAAATTGCATATTACTCAGGTCTTCTCCAACTGCAATCTTACTCTAAGCTTCTTGGTTGGAGGAAAGGTTGCTGGGTAGATAGCAGCGACTGAACCATGCTCCCTGTCAACTCAGCTGGCAGCAGAGCAGGGACACTGTGAGTATCCTTGATGGGTTTGCCTGGATGAGAGGAGGAGTCTAGGCAGGTCTATTACCTGTGAAAAGCCTTAGGTACCACTGGCAGTCAGATGGCTGAGGGTGGGTGCAGTCTGCAGTGGATCTGTTCCTCTGAGAAGACAAAATATGACTTTGAAGTAGAGGAACGGTCACGTTTGGCTTTCCCCACCCAGACAGCAGTGAGTTTCCATTCAGCTGCTTTCCCTGATCAATGCATATGTAGCAGCACAGGCCAGAGAGAGTATTCTAGGCTTATTGCCATTGCTATGCAGAAAATACTCCACCTGATGTCCTC